GAAGAAATGGAAACGAAACCTTATAAGATCATGGAAAGCACAAGTTAGATAGCAGATTCATGCGTTTAAATCTACAATGACAGTTTAGCTTATCTAAAGATAGCACACACAGAGGTAGCTGTGCTTGAGTGATGGATAACAATACATTTTATTCTAGAAGATTTATACCTATGTTGCCGATGGCAATGTTTTAGTGTGTAATTGGACTAAAAGGGTGTGCTGGGATTATTTTAATACCTTAAAAAAAGAGCAAGTCTTATTCTTGGAATAGCAAATCAAATTGGTGATTCGGTGTGCTTGCCCCCGGGCAGCAAGATTCTCATTTTTTTAAAGAAAGTGTTTTTTTTTCTTGTGTCTAAAGCATTAAAGCTTTTCACTTAAAAAAAAACTTTGGCTTTCTTTTTTGGCGATCCTATCCTAGTAAGATCCGCATTTTTAATCTGTTTAGCTAACAGGACGGAGCACAAAGAGAGCCGCTTGGAAAGCTTTCCCGCTCTCTGAAAAGTTGGCTTGCTTATAGAAATTACAAACTGTATTTTTTTCTCCCTGTCTCCTATGAGTTGAAAGAAAACATTCTCCTGCTCATGTAACCTTGGTCAACTATCAATGTAGCACTTAAGGACCAGACCAGACGGTTCAGGGTGAATAAATTCCTGGAGAGTGAATGGAAGGGTTGTATTTGCTACATTAAGGGACAGGTAGATTTCAATAGTAAGATCCATTTTTGCTCCTGGAAATTGTGTTTGGATGCTCAAAATGGATGCCATAGTTATTACCTCCGTTGAATTTAAATATGAAGTAGCAAATTACTTTATGCTAAATTAACTCAGGTCAAGTAGGACCTGGTCCTCAGTCATTGCTCTGTTAACATTGACACAGTTCACTCAGGAATTGAGCTGTGATCTTAGTATCTCCTTCATGGGCTTTGTCTCAGTGCTCCCCTTTTGTTCCTCTGACTGAAAGAAAAATAAGAAAAAAAGATGTACATGAATTTATTCTGGTCCAAAAGATACCAGAGACTGCCCGATCAGAGGATTCAAATCCGCCCGGCAACAGCGAGGAGGAGGGGGAGGACATGTTGGCCTCCTGGAATTTGGACTGGATTCAGGCCATGGTGGTAAGTCCAGGTAGTGGTCAGTTTAAATCAGGGGTGTCCAAACTTTATCCCAAAAGTGTGGGTCAGTGTGGGTGTAGGTTTGTGCTCCTGCTCAGCATTAAATCTCCTAATGCAACTAACCATGGCTGATTGATGTAAGAGTGTGGTATAATGGTCAGGCTGCTGGCCTTCTAACTCAGAGGTTTTACTATAAGTTTACCTTTAGCAAGGTACTCCACCTGAGTTTCTTTAGTAGTAGTCCAGCAGTATAAGTGGATAGTGTGTAAAAGAGATGAGTAAGTTTCTCTGGATTAGGGCTTCTGCTATCTATGCAATATTGATAGATAAATCTTAGGTCTAATGTAAGTGAATCAGGCTCTGGGCTTAGGGAAACGGCCTGCATCCTCTCCGGCCCTTCTTGGATGAGAGCGGACACCCTTGCTTTAGGTCGTAGCGAGGTCATACACAGGGTAGCTTCCTCCCATAGTTCTCGTGACGTTACTCTTGTTGTTGAGGCAGTCAGCCTCGATAAGAGCCCCAGCAATCCAACCCCACCCACCCAGACCCCATGATCGACGTAGACCCCTCGGTTAGTGAGAGGAATCCTGACGTCCCCGTGTCCTCGAGAGACCCCTTTAAGGCTGGGGGCCCAGGACCGACACTGCTGGCCCGCCGTGCAGTCTTGAGGACAGCTCCTTTGGTTGGGGTTTGGTTTTTTGGCTCCAGAACATTCAGTGACATTCAGGAGGAGACGGCACGTCACCAGTCGTCAGACAGTATCGGGAAGTCTGGTGAGGGTTTTTTTTTTCTGAGGCATTCTGTACATTCTCTGCTGGGATGCTTTGCCGGTGAGTTCACAGCCACAGTCTGAGTCGAACAATGGGCCATTCTGTTCCACAGCTCACTTCTGTGGTTCCATTGAGATGCTGAAGCCGGAGACTTCAACCTCATCTAAATGAATTCCTTTTTTCATTTCTGCTTTGACTCAGAAGTCATCGGGGTTCATTGAATCTTTTGGACCTTGAGTTGGACTCTTTCCCAAGTTTTTTTTTTTTTTTTTGTATTAGCAGTTCATTGTTAGCATCCGCACACAAGTGTTGAAATGTTAGCGGTATTTCTGTGAGAGTGGTCCATTCTTCTGCTCCTCTGACTGAAGTGTTGCATACAGCTTTCGGGCCACATAGCGATGCGTACATGGTAATGCAGCGTAATGTATTTTGAATGTGACCCTTTAAGGGAACAATCCGCTCCCTCACAATGGTGTCTTTGAAAAAGTTTATCATTTCATTATCTATGGTTTTGGTTTCGTATTGATCATTATTCTGCAATGGCTTAAGAGATCAGAGGCACGTTTTTTTTTTTTCATCTGCAGTTGCAAAAGCATGTCTTTGTGAAGGAAAACTGCAGCACTATGTTGGCAGTCTCCTTTCATGGAGTCAGACACTTAAATTACCTTGTCATTTTACTGGCTGTGGACATTGGCCAGTGTCTCTTTTAAAATTGCTGATATTCAGGTGTGCGCTTCACAGGTATCCAAAATAAGAAGAATGAACTTCAAAAAGGCCAAGTTATAAAAATGCTAAATTTAATAAAGGGCAGGGGATCAAGAGCGAAACTGCATTTTCCCAGCGCAGCCCTTTCTCAGTCATTCTTCTTATAAGCGAGTAGATGTTGCTTCTCTCTTTGACTTATCTCACGCTCAGACTCCCATTCAGCAAAGCTCATAAGGCAAACAGAGCATAGCCTTTTTTCTTCCATAAGTATCCACACGCCGGTTAGCCAAGCACAGTTTGTCCACCGTCGCCCCCGTTTGACATGCTGTGACAAACTGGAGCTCAAGCAGAGGCGCCAGGGCTCGTTTTGATGGCCTTGTTTTTTTTTTGGGGAGATGGAGAGCACGGACGAGAATCCGGGACAGCAAAGGATGAAAATAATTGGGTCCCATTTATCAGAACGGGCACCCAGGGGGACCTGGGGTAGGACGAGCGAAGGAGAGCGAGGGGAGGCTGGGAGCGTCTCGCAGTGATGAGGTCACAGTGGGAAAGAGGACGGCGGGCAGGGGTGGGCTGTGGGAGTGAGGGGGTGACCTTCTAATAACCTTGGGGCTCTATGCGTGTGTGTATGTGTGTGTGTGTGTTGGGGGTGTGTGTGTTGGGGGGATGTTGTGGTGCCACCCCATGGGCCTGTCAGGATGGCTGAGGTTGTTTTTAGGAGGCTGTCCCGCCGAGGATGAGAGTCACGCTGGAAATAGACACGCTCGACTATTTCGGTCTGTTAATGTGGACATTTATCCTCGGACAGCCGAGCGCTCAGGGGCCACTCTGGCCAGTGAAGGCCGCTTTGAGGAGGAAACATCCTAAACTCTCTGCCCGTCTTTAACCCCCCAACACCTGCGCTATTAACAGGCCTTGACACCCTTATGGAAATAAATACACTGCAATGTATTATAAATGTATGGACATTTTGGGGGAACATATAGTTGCAACTATATTTTTTACAGTATATATTTACAGTATATATAAAATGTATTGCAATATATTAAAAAAAAAACATAGTAATTTGTATGTTCACCCATATACTATAAAGCCTTACCATATCTGTTCCTGGGGTGGTGAGCCCTGGCCCCGGAGAGCTGCAGTATGACCTGGTTTTTGTTGTTAGTCAGCACTTAATTGATCAAATGGCGCGCTTGATTTCTGAGTTAACTCACCTCAGCTGGTTTCTTGGGTCAGAACTGGCTGCTGGTTTTAAAAGTGAAACCTAAAACCGGCACATATTGGAGCTCTTCAGGACCAAGGGTGGTCACTCCTGATCGATTCTGATCTCAGTAATATATTTGATTTAAATATGTCTGGATATGTCTCCTGTCTGTAAGTGCGCCGCTGTTGTCAAAGCCTGCGCACCTTTGGCTAAACCCTGAGTCCCAGCCTGCTTCAATCAAGACCAATGGCTGGGGAAGAAGAGCTTAACGAGTCCAACACACCATGCCGGGCTAAACAGATATACATGAGGTTTTGAAAAGGAAGGAAGATGGAAAATATGTATTCCCTATATTCACCCACAGATTCCTTGCTAACTAAATAATTTATTTAAACTCTGTTTCAAAGGAAAAGCAAGTAAAAAAAAAAAAAAAAAAAAACAGCTTTCTTTCATGCGACGTTGGTGAAGGGCCAAATGGCAAGTTATCTGCAGCTGGCTGGAGGTTGTGATTGTTTCCTAAAGTAGAATGCTGAGTGCCCCCCCATCCCACCCCCCCATCGCCCCAAAGATGTTTGTCTTTGATACAGACGCTCTTAATGTGGTAAGAGAAGTCTGTGAACTTTAGGGGAATGGTTAATGGGAGGGTGAGCGGATCAAATTCGGGGCAGCTACCCCCACGATTTGGATGGAATCGGGGGCCGTGTGTTTCTGTTTGTGAGAAGTCTGGCCTCAAATGGCTTTCAGCACATCTGTCTCTTTGAAAGAAAGCGTTCCGACGGCCTACACGTGTGTCGCCTGTCTCATCTTTTTCTTGATGTTTCTCATCGTGTTATCGTTCTTTCATCAGCCTATTCATGTTTTGCATCATGTAAGGCCGTGACCAATGTGAGACCCCCGACAGTCAGACATCAACATGGTCTGAAATCTCTCCATGCTGTTTTGAAACAGCTTTTCCTGTAGCAGAGATCACACTGCTGGGGGCACAGCAGCTCATACAGTAGTCAGATTCTCAGTGGCCGTTTTGTAGAAGTGTGACACATTTGATAAACACTTATTATAGCTGTATAGTATTTGAGTTGCAGGTTTGAATCTTCACCTTCACCTTAAATCTGCGAGTTCACTACACCATTGTGATGCCACGTAGAATGGATTTGAATTTGTCACTGTAAACTGCCAGGAGAATAGCAGGTATTAGCCTGCAGGCTAGCCTGTAGTCAAGTGGCTAAGGTACATGGTTGTGACCCCTGAGGTTATTGGTTCAAGCCCCAGTCTAACCACAGCAAGAACACCATTGCAGTGAGGCCCTTGAGCAAGGCCCTTGACCCCACATTGCTCCTGGGGGGATTGGCCCTTAGCTAGCCTAATCAACAGCAAGTCACTTTGGATAAAAGCATCAGCTAAAAGACTGTAATGTAATGCTAGGTCACAACAAACTACCTCTGCTCTGCTCTTTCTTCTTCTGCATGAATTGCAACGCTCCGTAAGATATCTCTCTGCATTCAACACACTCACTGATGCCCGCTTGTATTATGGGGACTTTCTGGCTCTCTGGCCTTAAGCTTGGCTTGTATCTCAGAGGTTGTAACCCTAGAGCAAAGTACTAATTGTCCAGCAGTGTATTGGGTTGCATGCAAAGAAAGTCTAATGTGTATAGATCACTGTGAATGAGAGAGCCTGCGGAATGATGCGGTGTTGTGGCCGCTTTGGTGATGCGGTGCCCTTTGTCCTCAGCATGGGGTCTGTCTAATGAATGCAGTACACCACATTCCCACCTCCACTGTGAGCCTCTGACAGCCTGTCGGAGCAGCCTGGTCCTGTTGTTGACTTCTTGTTTAAAAAAAAATGTTGCCGTTTTTTTTCCTGGAGTGGTGGAAAATCTTCAACCCCCCGGATATCTCTGCTCCACAGGGTGACTAACGACCCCCACGCTGCGTGGTCTCTCCACCCGGGTATGATTACTGACTGTACTTCCCACCCCAGCTGAGGAATGAACCCCCACCCTGCCCCCCACTGAAGTCAGGATAGCGGTCTTTAGCCACCATCTTCCTAAGTAGACTGAATAGGCTACTCACCTTTTCAGACTAAATATTGGTAGTTTTTGGGCATACTAAACTATGGTATTAGTATGACTTCTTACTATGAATATTTTGTTAGCTTGTATTCATCTGCTGTATCCTAGCTTGGATTAGCATAATTAATTGCACCGGTACTTTAGTGACGTTACAGATATACTTGCTGGACTGTCATATTAATTAGGTGAATGCACTTATCGTCACTCTAGATAAGTATGTCTACCAAATTACTCTAATGTAATGGTCCTCAACGCTGGTCCTGCAGAGCCATGGGGTTTTGTTTTCTCCTTAAAACAGTTACCGATCCAGACCCAAGAAACCAGGTGATTTAATTAAACTATGCCCGTAGATGGTTTGATTGATCAGTGGAGTGCTGGGTACTAAAGTCCTATGTACACTTTGGCTCTCCAGGATGGTGATTGACGACGACTGTTCCAGAGTTATACATTACAGTGGCAGAGCTAAAGTTTGGTCCCTGGGATCCACTGTGTATCCTGGTTTTCCTTCTAACCATGATATCCACCTCTGACCCATAACCTGCTGTTAAATTCTCCTAATTAGACACTTTTCAAGTCTGTTGAAGGATCAAATAATGTCTGAAGGTGACAACGCTTTCTCAAATAACTTTTTCCATGAAAATAAATGTCCCATATTCACATTTTGTTATGTTAGATTAATAGTTTTTTCTTTTTGTGCTGTATTGCAAATAATCACATTTGAATTTAGCCCAATTTTTTAATTGATGCACTTATAGACTTAAGGGTGAAATCGACTGGGTCCGATTTTTTGGGAGTGTGGAAACCTGGTCACCGAAAGGAAACCATTTGCGTGAAGCGAAGCGTTCACTGACGTAGCAAATGGAGACAAGCCAAACCTGCATTGTGTTAAAATAAGTTTAAGGAAAAAATTACGGTAAAAACATAAACACATGCTTTCAGCAACTTTAATCGATCAAGAGATTGGCTTTAACAAAAACCAGCACACACAGTGGGTCCCCAGGACTGAACATGAGAACCGCTGAATACCCCAGACTCTGCACTCCTGGGGCCTGGCTCTGTCAGCCACACAGAAGAACATGCTCATTGTTGCTTTGCTGCACACATAGATCTTAGACTTAAGGTCATATTTGATCAGATAGTGGTGGTCTCCTGTGTATTAAACCATCATATGCCACACCATTAATTATCTTAAATTGTGAAAAAAGTGGATGAGGGTTTTTTTTTAAGTTAAGAATATATTTAAAATGCATTTTCTTCTCCTTTTTTTATGGTGCACCGCTAACCACATCCTGAGTATTGAGTGGGGCGCCGGCCTGGAGTCCTGAAGTGTTGAGGTTACCTCCCCTCAATGAAGGCAGTTTTTCCTTTCCACTGTCACCCACAGGTTTGCTTTAGAGAGGGCTTAGACTGGGAACACTGTTAGGCATACTGTGGCAAATGTTTTGTAAAATGAGCGATACAGATAAACTCAGTTTGATTCCACTTGCCGCATTACTGACAAAAGGGATCACAACATTGCGGTGTTAAATAGTTACAAATGTAGTTTGTTTATTCAGTGAATCATGTATGTTATCTTTTATCTCCTCTGCTTTTTCTTTTCTGCTGCGTCTCCTAAGCACAAATAATTGAATGCAAATGAAACAGAAGTGCAGATGAATCATATTTCTAAACAACTCATACTGTGGCCTTGGAGAATGGTTTTGTCCTGTAGGAATTCCCCGTAGCGTAGGATAAAAGGGAAGGTGCGTGCGTTTGAAGCAAAATCCAGCTTGTTTCGTATTGTGCAAAGTAACAGCGGCTGAGGTAGCTTAATTATATCAGCTACGGAATTCGATAATAAAGACGCTCCATTAGAAACCAGAGTCTTGCGCCTGGGCCAAAAACAACGGGCTTGGCTTACTTGTTACGGCACATTTCCTTGAACGAATTAGCGAGAACGAAGCTGAGAAATGCGGAGGATGGGGCGGACATTTTAAACAGCGGGTGTTGCTGCGGACGTTGAAGGGAGACGAGCGAAACCCCCTCTTTAGGGAACTCCCCCTGCTGTGATACCACGGCAACCAATAAACACCTGATCCCACCTCACCCGCTGCCTTGGAATTCACATACTCATTACGCGCTGTGCCCCCTGCATCGCACTCTGAGTGCTGGCTAGCTCACACGGGTATCTCAGCGCCTCAGCACTGATGTGTAAATAGCTTTGCACTGGGACGTGGCTACAGTGACCTGCCCTGACTTGCCTCTCCTGGTCCAGTGCCAGCAGCTATAATGAGCAGGTAGGCTACTTTGCATGAATTCAATAATAATAATACAATTCGATACAACAATCACACATCAATACGTGTGGCTGTCTTCTCCTCAGACTAAAGTAAAGGTTATGTTGAAGTTATGTGGGACCTTTCTTGCTCTTTAAGTGCTTCACACTCGAGAGGGAAACTCACTTCAGCCACCGTGGATGTGTTGCACCCGCAGAGGTGATGTACGACAGCCATTGTTCAGCAGAACACCCCATATCATAAGATAAGATGGACAGGCAGGGAAATATTAAGCACCGGTCTAAATATGCAGTTAAAATGGGGGATATAAGGTTGCCAGTTTGAGTGACTTGGGCCAGGACACTGAGGACACTTAATCTTTGCCATAAGTGCTGAGAGACATTTATTGACCACAATGAACGAAGAACTCAGTTTAATGTCTCTTCCAAAAGACAAAAGAATCCAAGTGAGTGACAGGCATCTGCAGTATAGTCTAAATTTCCCTCATGAGAGATCACTATATTACATTAGATTTTAGGCATTTAGCCGGCAGTCTTATCTGGAGCCACTTATACTAATGTGTGCATTGGATAAGTACAATGGCAGTGCCCCACTTAGGAATCAAACCTGCAACCTCTGAGTTACGGTTCCAGGTTGCAAGCCATTTCACTCAACTTCTACAATGACGCCACATCGAGTGGAGCAGGATATAGGAGCATGAAAAGAATGCTTCAGAAAGTCAAATGCAGACTTTTAACACTGCATCGCATGACTTTCTTGGCTAGTTGTTCTTGTGAACGAGCCCACTGTACGTTGCTAGGGAAACATGGTTGTGCATGCTCAATAAAAATGGTTCAGGGAAATACGAGGAGCTGTAAAAACTGTACAAAGAGCAAAAAAAATACTTCCAAAAAAAGGTTCAAGGCACTCTTCCAGAGAAAGTAATTTTGCGAATACCTGTATTAAGAAGGCATTATTAAGAGTGCCTTGAGCCTTGACTTGGAATTATCTTGAGTCCATGGACCACTTTCAATGAGCACCTTCTACACTCGAGTACCACTATAAATGTTTACTTTTCTCCTTTCCGAACAGTGCTTCTTTGTTTCTTTCTTCTCCTGAACAATGTTTCTTAATTTTCACAGAGGAATGAAAATATTTCAGGCCTTTCTAACCAAAGCTACCGTTTAAACAAGTCACATTCTGGAACAAGGCCCTGATGTTGTTTCTCAGAATCAGTTCAAGTTGTCTTTTTTCCGACTCATGAAACTCAGTGACTTAGGTGTATACTTACAGCCTTTGGAATGGGGAGATGTGAATTGAAGCCTGCAACCCCCACCCCCCTCTTTTGTTTTATAAAAACCAGGCCCAGATTTTTTTTTTTTTTGGGGGAGGTGTGCATGTGGGAATAGTTTACATTTTAGTGACCCCTGACCTTTGACCCCTGGACCCCCTTCTCTTCACCTCTTTCTCCTTCTCTTTTTCTTTCCTTCCTTTCTCTTACCAACCATTCCTCCTCTGCTCTCTCCCTCTCTCAGCCCGGCAACAACAGGACGTACGGACGCATAGTTTTCGTTTAATCAATAACATAAAACAGATGGGCCTTATGAAAAGAAGAGAAGCGAGCATTTAAAAGGGAAAATATCCCAGGGACATTGTCTAATTACATCTGTTTGTTTTGCGCTGTGTTAGGTCAGAGAGGGTACGTGAAGTTTTTTTGGACAGTATTGGGATTTTTTTTAAATATCTGACTCAACAGGAAAGCACAGTGGAGGGAATAAGAGGAGAATAATTCTTTGTCAAATGTTTGAGCAACAAAGAGGGGATTTCCACTGACGAGGAATGTCATAAAGGTCCAAACACAGTCTCTTTGTGCATACATTTCCACTTTCAAGTTTGCGTGGATTGATGTTGACCTGCACAATTTCAAATGTCATGTATTTGTTTTTCA